CAAACAGCTTCTTTTAAACTGATGGATTAGTTGGTGTATACTCTACTATACCTAGAAATGTTGAATTTCATGTAATCTTCAAATATTGACATATATGATTTTATTTTGAAATATTAATTAAATTGACTCGTGATATATAATACAAATCAGAGTGAACTCGTGAGTAGTTTTAATACTTAAAAGCTTCCTTTCTATACCTTTCAATTTCCATCGAGCAGGCCTCACGTTTTATTTTATGTGAAAATACTTAATTTGACATGAATTGCATGCTACAAGTAAATCCATATTAACTTAAGGATATATTTGGGAAACTACCAGGTAATTGAAATTAGTGTAATTACTAATGTTATAATTATACATCCCAGTAATTATACAATATTATAATTACGATGACTTGTTTATTTTTCATAATGTAATTACAAGTATACTATTTGGTGGCACAAGTGTAATTTATATTAAAATTTTAAATATAAAGTTAATTATTAAAAACTAAAACTGAACATTCAACAAATATATTCCTTTATAAATAATATTAAATTTGACATTTAAGATAGACATTGTAACTTGAAAATATTTTAATTACTAATTATATTTTTGTAAAAAATATTGTAAAAATAATTGATATATATATTTCAAATTATTAATATTTTATTTTTATCAATTATAAAACTAGAAGTACATATTTTGTAAGAATATCATGGACTGCATGCTTGATAATATGATAATATTTATAAATATAATATCATAACATTACTCAAATATTTTACTAAAAATAATCTATTAATATTCAGAAATATAATGTCATAACACTTTAGTAACCCTGACCAGTAACCACCAAAGAATATAGTGCAGCAGATATGGCTGCTCTTTCCTTAACCAGAGGTCTTGGGTTCGAGCCCTGTGTATGGAGAAATCCTTGGTAGGGAGCGCTTCTCCCGAATGGGACCTTAGGTGGCGCGAATCCAAATATAACCGGGATCCAATGCAAATAGCAGATACCGAATGGAAAATAAAAACAAAACCCTGTAATATATATAAGACGGAGGGAGTATCAAATTATCACTACTTTCGTCTCAATTTGGTAATTAGCCTTTTTCTTTTTTTACTTTTTTCTTTTTTGGTTTCTACTTGATATTTGATACTCGTATTGAGGCACTACTAAATTCGAATTCAAACTGAAAATTTTCATATTGGAAGATAAAGTGCACCATAAAAAAAACAATTTCATATCCAAACCTCAAACTCAAAACATCTAATTAAGTATAAATGCTTACTACTCTACCTTAATTCTTGTTGGGAATTCGTCTTTTCTTTGCCAATAAAACGAAAATTCAACTATTTTTGTTCTAGGAAAAAATAAATAGAGAGGCACAGGACAAAACATCTTTGGGTGCGTGCCGAGAGGGAGAGGGAGAGGGGAGAGAGAGAATCTGCGTCGCACATGGGAAGGAAAAAAATAGTACTAAGAGAGAGAGAGAGAGAGAGAGAAGGTCCCGCGTTCCCCGGTGCAATTGAAAGGCCACTCCCCAGAGAGAAAGAGAAGTGAAAAAGTGGTGCCATCACGTGACTTTTCCTCCTCCGTTACCAACATCCCTTCTCTCTCCCCTCTGCTCACTCAATCTCCTTTTCTTTCTTTATTTCTGTACTTACACTCTGCAACTAAATTCAAATTACTACAGTAGTATAGGATACAATTTACTTGCTTGGGATCTGTGCACTAATCATCGTCATTAATATCTTTAACAAGTTAATCTCTCTGTGTGTGGGGGTCAACGCCAACTTCTTAAGTAGTACTTTTGTTTTTTTTTGAGTTATGAGGCCTCTCACGTGACATGCTTCCCCTATCATTCTGTAAATCCAAATTTCCATCTTTTTCACTTGTGAGAAAAAAGACGAGCTTACTGCTTACCCCACTCTAGTTCAAAGAGATGGATTAACTTTTAGGTGCGCACCTCAATAGATCCATCAGTTCTCTCATTTTTATTTACTTGTTGGTTGAAAAGACATTGCTCGTTTTCACAGACTTGCCTCAGGATCACGGATCACCGTAATTTTGAGAGAGAGATCCAGAATTACACCATATTTTTATGATTTGTACATATTTAATGTATTTTTTTGGTAGATATACATAGTTTGAGATGAAATTATAGGTTAAAATAAATCAATAGCTTCTATTTTACATATGCTCATGGGTAGTTCTACAAACTTTCTTCGTCATTGGAATCGAGGCGGATCTAAGCTTTGAACTTTATGTGTTCGTATTCACAATTCTATCACATTTCAACAAATTTAGTAAGTTTAAAATTTATTATTTATACGTATTTAATTGTTTATGGACAAACATATTAAGTATAAACTAAAGTTATAAGTTCAAATAAACTCATACCCTCTATGCTTGATGAGCCGCTATGTCAATCTAAATTATATTATTGTTTTATTTTTACAAATAAAATAAGCAAATGAAACACAAAAGACACTATGTTACAACACACAAATAAATATCGATCCGATCCGCAGTGTGAAAAAATTATTCATTGGGATTGTTAGGTTGGAGTCCATCTTTTAATTATTGATCCCCACTCTCCAGTAGGAATTTTTTTATTTTCTTCTTATAACAAAGCGATAAACAAACTGTTTAGTTAAGAGTATGGATGACCAAAATAAGAGTTAAAGCTAAATTAATTTCAAATGAGTCCGGAAATAGAGATTACGTTGTACTATTTCTAAAATTTAAATTGTTCAAATGAATGTGGGAACATAATATATACGTTTTATGTAATTATAAGATAAGCCAAAATTAAAGGAATATTAGATAATTTAAGGAAAAATACCGAAGTGTGTCAGTCTCAAGATTTGCTTTGCGGATATTTCGTAAGCTTAACTTTTTGAAAGTATGTCAAACATGCAATAAAGGATGGAAACATAAATTTAAAGTTTTCCCGGGAAACCTTTGTTGTTATAGTTGTTGAGCAAGAGTCACTGTTATGACCTTCCAATTCTATTTAGTGCCACATTAAATTGTTGACAAAATAGTCAATATTGCTACCCCTTACGAGATAAGTATGTGTTACTTACATGAAATAAACAGGAGTTGAATTTATTAGAGCTTTTTGATTTACTTTAAATCAGTACACATACTATTAGATTAGTACATCACCCTTTTCGAGTCGAGGATCTATTAGAAACAGCCTCCCTATTTGCATTAGGTAGGTATAAGGTCTGCGTACAGACTACTCTTGTTGGGTTTTGGATGTGTTTAATTAATATATTAAATACTTAAAAGAGGGTGAATGGGAAATGGAGGGAAATAAAATTTTTGAGTGAAATTTTAAGTTCCCCCCTTGGCAAATGGGCATTGTCCTATATTGGAAGAGGAAGAGGTTTTTTATGGGTATATAAGCAATTGCTCTTCTTCTAGCTCTTTAAGAGTTGAGAAGAAGGCAAGCCTCGTGCCGCCGTCGTCGTCGCTCGCTCGGCTCGGCTTCGGCTTCGACTTCAGCTTCGGCTTTGGTCAAATGATCGATTGATTGATTAACTTTTTGGACCAAATTTATTTGTTAATAGTAAAATATTAACAGAAATGTTATTAAATATTTGTTTTAATAACAAAATATTAATATTAAATCCAATCCGTTTTTCTGTTTTGGTAACAGAAAAGTAACTACCCTCTTCAATTTTCCCTCTTTATTTTCCCTCTTTATTATTGAGTAAATGGCCATTTATGTAATGGCATTTATGCTGTGGGCGTTTTGCATAAACAGCCATTCTGAAGAGTTGCACCTCTTCAGATTTCAGCCTAACTTTGGCTATAAATACAACACTATTCTGCTCAGAATTTCACTACGATTTTCTGAGTTTCTTCTCCTTCTTCTGCATACTTTTAGCATCAAACAAAGCAAAAAGTAAGTGTGATTTGCTACCGAACTTTGTGTTCGCTGAAACACTGGGATTTGAAGTACCACTACACCAGTGTGTAATTCGTTCTATCCTGGGAGGAAATAATCCATAACCTTGGGTACTAGGAGGGGATTAAATTCCTTAAGGAAACACTGTGAATTCAGTGGGCTCGAATTGGTTTTATGTCAATTCTGTTTATGTTCATTTCTGTTTATACTCATTTATATTTCCAGAATTATTTTACAAATACAGTCTACTAACAACTCTCCCCAGACCCCACCTGTTAGGAACATATTGAGTTTGTTGTTGTCGTTGTTGTTGCTTCATAAGATAAGTGCCTCACATACACGGGAGAAAAGGTTACAATAGCAAGCCCCTTCCCGGTCGGAGAGCCTCCAGGACAAGGAGGCGACGATCAACCATCCACTCTCGTTATTCATATTTGTCCAACTTTCATGCCTTTGTTCTAGTTCATAAAATCAAACTACTGTTAATGGCCAAATAAGCAAAATAATACGTCACTTAAAATCATTGTAAATTAAACTTTCAGAGTATTACGCGACTGACACAATAAATTAAAAAAATTATAGTATATAGTTTTCTTGAATCGGTTAAGAAGAATGCTGGAATTTGATACACACTATGCCTCACATAGGAAATCATTCAATAAATTAACTTTAAGATCATGTGTAGGAGCCGTTTATTTTCGACAAATGGGGCAGATTAATGCATCACTATTTGTTTAACTAGAAACATGGAGTAGTAATTTTTATCTATACTAAAAGATTTAGTCGCTAAATAGATTAATATTATTACTCGGGATCGCCAAAAATATAAAAAATTCGATCTACTAGATTATCATATTTTTATACTACTAGCAGTGAACTAAATTCCATAACACGGTGATCCGATCCGACACACACAGTCTAGTAAACGGTCTCTTGAACTTTTCCTGAAAAAAAACGTTAACCAATGAGCCAAACGCCGTTAATCCGCCACAACGACGTTACATAAACGGCGTTTTAACTTAAACGGAGTTAGCACGAAAGAGCAAAGCGCTTGGATAAACGAAAACGAAAATGAAGTACGCTGCCTTTAAAACAACCTCTCACTAAAGCCCCTTAAGAGAGAAAAGTAGAGAGAGAAAGAGAGAGAGACTTCTCTGATCTATGAGACCCATTTAATTTTCTTTTTTCTTTTTTCGGGTATTGATGTATTAAGAAAGCAATATATATTTTCATGGGGGGGTGTTAGGCAATTGAGTTTTCGTTAGACAAGACGACGAGGGCCTACCAATAATCTCTCAAAAGTCACTGTTTGGATCACTTCCTTATTACGCTTAATTGTGTTCATTTCTGTCAAAGGAATCCCATCTGAATTATGCATTATTCATCGCCAATTCTCATCTAAAGTACGTATCTTTCCTTCTGGATCTCTCATATTCTGCAATTCTTTACTTCCTTACGTATGTTTTTCAGTTGAATTCTGCGTAATTCAGTTGAATTATGATTTATTTGCAGGTTTGGTCGACTAACTACCTGTTTCTCACCGGAACTTCTTTTTGGAGCTGAATTTCCAGCAAACCGAATTTTCTAAGAAGAGAAGTGAAGTGAATTTCGGCAAATAATCTACAAGTTGTGAAGTTAGTTTTACAGAAGATTGCTCTTAATGCGCCTCCAATTTTTGTTGGAGGCGGATCTGAAATTGAAAGAGTGTTGAGTAAATAGAATTTTCGAGTTACGGAACAGCTTAGCGAAATTCAGTTGAATTGTGTGTAATTACTTTGATCTGGCGAACACACAATTCAAGTACTGTGATGGAGCTGCCTCAGCCCAGACCGTTTGGAACAGAAGGTAATACTACTTTAGGTTCACTTTTTTGAATAGAATAATCTTTGAGAATTCTGTCTAATTACGTGATTGTTGCAGGGAGGAAGACGACGCATGATTTTCTTTCACTGTATTCACCTGTTCAACAAGATCCAACACCTCCGCAAGGTAAATTTTCGTGCATGCAGGGTTGTCTTTTCAAACAGAAGTTTTTTTTTTCATTTTATTGGAGATAAAATAGGTAATTTTTCTTTTTCTTTCAGTTTTGCTTATGAGAAAGTTTTTCCAATAATATAATTTTAAGAAAATTGGGTTCTGTAGGTTTGCGTGTGGTGTGCATGTGCTGTTAATCTGTTATCATTGTTTAGGGGAAGGTGCAGCTCTTAATTTTTTTTATTTAATTAAATAAATAAAATTATACTGAAATTGAGAGTTATTTTAGGGTTAAAGAACTTGTATGTATTTCGTTCGGTTGCATACCATGATCATTATGGACATTCTCATTCAACTGGATTTTACATGATCTGATTATGTGAATACATTTTGCAGTGTCATAGCAAAGAACTCAACCCGACTTTGTTTTACTTATTTAAAAAACTTCATTTCTTGTTTTAATTTTCTGATCTTCAATTTCCAATGTACGATGCAGAAATTTGGGTTGGTTTGTCCCCAAAAAATAGTAAGAATCTGGGTTTTATATTTTAAAAAATCATGGGGGGTGAGTTGTAGATGAATGGGGAATTGGGAACAGTAGAGAAAATGTGTTGTGATGTAAAATGTGGTTGGGATAGAAGGGGGAAATAACAGTCACCCACGAATGTTGCAATTAATGCGCCCGTGACCCCAAAGAACTGATTGCTGATCTGAATGCGTATGTGGATCTGGGTCATCTTCTTCCCGGTGGGCCATTCACTTGGATAGGGCTGATATTACTGAATCCGGAAAAAGGTTGGGGCTTGGACTATATGCCTCCCCACTCACATCCAGTTATTTGATCCGTACGATTTTTGGGCTTGATTATTCTCTATGGTACGGTTAAGGACCTAGAGATTGGTATCTGATCCTTGCTTAACCTGTTAAAAAAATTATGGAAAAATAACACTGTATAGCCGAAAAATATATAAAATTTGTATATTTTTTTTATATATACATTATGTATGTTATATACAAAAATTATACATTATTTTCGGCTTCCAGATGTAATTAGTTTCTGGCGTGGGCTAAAAGTAATAATACTATCATGAGATTTTGTATTGATTTGTTTCAAAAGCCAATTTAATAGATTTTCAAGCTGAAGTGATTTAATTAACACAATAATAATTAAATCTACTGAGGAGTATAAAATACTGTAATCTGAAACTTACTGCATTATCTATAAATTGTTTAAAATTTGAAAAGCCGAGGGTCTATAGGAAATAGCCTCTCTATCCTCACAAGGTAGGGCTAAGGTCTGCGTAGTCACTACCCTCTCCAAACCCCACGGTGTGGGATAATAGTGGATATGTTGTTGACTTGTTTAAAATTTGAAAAGCACAACAGAACACAAGCTTCTCTTCGTCTTGTTGTGACGCTTCTATCACTCATATTCCGGTGATTCATCATTCATATATTCATGTTACTGATTTTGGCGAATAGAATTTCACTTTTTAAGTACTAGCATTTATGAAATATTATACTGTAATGATCTTTGCCAGATTCTCCTACACATATATGCTATCTTCCATTTGCATTATTGTGCTTGACACTTCTTTAATGTATTCTATATTAATAATTATGTCCTCTATAGCATGCCTTGCATTGAATCATTCCTTTCTCTATGGTTATTCTGCATACTAAAGCAGGTGGATTCCTAAAAACACATGACTTCTTGCAACCACTGGAGCAAGCAGAGAAGGCATTAAGGAAGGAAGAAGACAAAGTTGAGGTTGTGGCTGTAGAGAAGCCTCCAGCACCGGTAGCTTCTCCTTCAGTAGAGCATATTCTTCCTGGTGGCATAGGCACCTATAGCATTTCGTATTTGCACCAAAGGGTACCAAAGCCAGAAGCAAGCTTGTTTGCCGTAGCACAGGCAACTAGTACCGACAGAAATGACGAAAATTCAAACTGCAGTTCTTACACAGGAGGGAGTGGCTTCACATTGTGGGATGAATCTGCAGTCAAGAAGGGAAAGACAGGGAAGGAGAATTCTGGGGGTGATAGACACGCCCTAAGAGGTAAGAGGTTTATTTTGCCTTCTACTTGCTTTGCGTCTTTCTTGAAAACTGAAATCTGCATCCATAATCAATTTCTATGCAAAGCATACTTGAGAAAGACTGAAAAGTTGAGAGTATATATACAACTGTTTGTTATCTGAAGCAGTGCATTCCATGCGCTATTAGTTATGTTGAATAACACTTTATTGCACTAGAGAACTTAAGTTAATTTAACTTCTTACGCGTAACAAGATTGATTTTGACCAACCACTGATATTGGTTCTCTAGTTTTTCTCTGGTGTTATCAATGGAGGGTTAACCTTGAAATTCAGCTCCAATTAAAACCTGTTATTTGCTTGGCAGAAGCAGGTCTGAACACTGGAGGTGGTCAACCTACGACATCATTAGAATGGCAATCACAATCGTCGTCAAATAAACACAACACTACGGCCATAAGTTCACTCTCATCCGCTCGGTCAGTGATCTTTTGCTCCATATGAATTGCCCATTTTCCCGTGATGCTAATACTTCTAATTACACTTTCTAACTCTATGATCACCTTGCAGACAATCATCGCCTCTTAAGAGCCAGAGTTTTGTACACATGATAAGATCAGCTAAGAATGCCCAAGATGACGACGACGACGATGATGATGAAGATTTTGTGATTAAGAAAGAACCACAGTCGCACCCCAGAGGTTTGTCTTGTGTAAGTCTGATGATTCCCACTCATTGTCTACACGAAGTTGTCTTTTTATAACATACAGATAGCTACCTTTTACAGGTAATTTGTCCGTAAAAGTTGACGGAGAAGGCAATGATAAAAAGCCAAACACCCCACGTTCAAAGCATTCAGCAACAGAGCAACGGAGAAGAAGCAAGATCAATGACAGGCATGTCTACGACACAGTTGATAGCTTAAACATAGAATCTTTTTGATATAGAATCCTTATCTTATAGTAATATTATCTCTAAGGATGGATTTGGATGCTTAGTCAGATGTTTTTAATTTTCAATTTTGTACCATTTCTCCTTTGAAATATATCAAGTAGCCTTCTATGTGTAGAAAGAAGTTTGCTCGAGTGTCCTATTCTGTTACAGATTCCTATATAGGTTTTATGTTTCCATCTCTTCAGACTTTATTCAGCTGCTGCTACTTTGATTGCATTCTAATCGAAATAAAGTGATATCTTGCTGAACATTTAAATGTTCTTTTTAACCCTCTTTTCAGATTTCAGATGTTGAGAGGGATCATCCCTAACAGTGATCAGAAAAGAGATAAAGCATCATTCTTACTGGAGGTACTTGAATTGCATATTTTGTTAAGTCTCTCTTTATCAATAGAGATATATCTAATAAAAGTTAAAATATTGTTTGCAGGTTATTGAATATATTCATTTCCTACAAGAGAAAGTGCACAAGTATGAGGAATCATACCAAGGCTGGGAGAATGAACCTTTGAAGTTACCATTGGTAAATCCACCTCTTGGTCTTTCACTCTTTCTCAATGTTTACCTCCTTTCTTAGGTCACAGCTATGTCATGCTCAAAAATATTCAAAATTTGGCTCATCGTGTGGTATTTAGAACTGAAGCCTAAGAATTTTATGTTAAGAATGTATCATATGGGAAGGAGTTGGTCCAATACCACGTGTATTAAGATGCCTAGATGGTGAAATGAATTGAAGTCTTGACACGCTTGCATATTTCCATCACTATCTTTTCCGAGTATATATATCAAGATACTAATGGTTTTTGGCTCTGAAATATAGTGGATTGAAATGGTAGTCTCGATTTTGGATGCAGTTTATAGTGCAATAACATTCTATCTTAAAAGGCGACAGCTTATTTCCATGTAATCTGTATATTAGCCCAAAGCTAGATACCTATACTCATACTACATTCATTGGCACAAATTTTTAACAGACCTTCATTCTGAAACAGAGCAAGTGTCATAGGACGACTCAAGGTGCAAGCAATCATCCTCAGGGCACTATCAATGCATCAGGTGCTGCCCCGACGTATGCAGTAAAGTTCGATGAGAACATAATGGGGATTTCTTCTACTAATCCTTTTAATGAGAAAAAAGTGGAACCGAACATAAGCACCACAAGTTTAAAAGAAATCAGCCAGCGGCCTGGTTTAACAAATAAGGTGACAACACCTTCTATGCACCCAAACGCATTTCCATTTGGTGCGGCTAGTAGCACAGCAGCTCTATATTCATCAAAGCTGACAGCTGATACTGCTAAGTTGGAGTCAAAGTCTCATCCTCAACTTTCGGTTAGCAGATCACATATGACTGACTATGCTATTCCAAATGCTAATCCAAAAGGCCAGGATCTTTCTATAGAAAGTGGTACCATCAGCATTTCTAGTGCCTATTCTCAAGGGTAAGAATTCTTTTCGTGCTTAAAAGATTCTGGAAATTTATCTTTTTGGAAGAAGCATTGATGTTCTACTTCCACATGCATATCTAAAAACATCATATAAAATGAAGTAACCAAATGCTTGCCCAAAGCCAGTATCTGTCTATAGAAAGTGGTATCATCATCAGTTCTAGTGCCTATTCTCAAGGGTAAGAATTCTTTTAGTGCAAAAGATTCTGTAAATTTATCTGTTTGAAAGAAATGATGTTCTACTTCCACATACATATCTATAAACATCATATAAACTCAAATAACTGGGTCCTAAAGATTTGAAACTAGACACAGTTGCAACAAAAAAGGCATCCAAAAACATGGCAGTTAATATACTTTGACAGAGAAGAAGTCATTTTACTACACTTTAGGATGGAATTGAATTACTGTATATGTTTGAATCAAGTTCTGCATCAATCTTTTGTTGTTTTCTTTTGAGATATAGTGCATTGTAGAAAGTTCTGTTGTTTATTGCATTGCTTTGTTATACATGGTCTGCACTCTGATGAAATCTCCCTCTTCCTAAGTAGACTATTCTATATGCTTTTTGCTGAATATACCGGATGCTCGATTAAAGTATATACTAGTACTTGCCAGGTTGTTGAACACCTTGACACTAGCGCTGCAGAATTCTGGAGTAGATTTGTCGCAAGCCAATATCTCTGTGCAAATTGATCTTGGGAAGAGAGCAAATGGTAGACTACATTCTTCAGCTTCCACTGTTAAGGTACCTGAGCCCATTTTAATTCCAGATACTTTATACAGTTCTAGATGTTATTATTCTCATACTTAACACCTGGGATTGAAGCGTTAAGTAATAGTAACTTTCAAAAAATTCCAACAGGGTGACGATGTTTCCACAAGCAATCAACCAATTCCAAAATCCATAGGTACAAGCACAAGGGATGAGTCTGACCGTGCCTTCAAAAGGCTGAAAACTAGTTAATGCTAATTTAACACACTGGTGTTCTTTTTTTTTTTTTTTTTTTTTTTTTTTTTTTGCAATTGGTTAAATTTATTTGTTTTTCTCTTCCGCTTCGCCTACTCCTTCCCCTTCTCGAGCAATATTGACGTCCACACCTGGTACAGAAATTTCCCAAATGAGAGTTTCCAGGACACTGTATATGCAATGTAATATTTTTCTGCCTCTCATTTTCCCTATTGAATTTGTTGGGCTGCACAGATTTCCTTGACTAGAGTGTGATATTTATTACTTATAGTAAACTATTGTATCATTATTAAGGCTTTCCGTGCTGATAATGAGAAGCAGCAGTTTCAAGTTTAAGGCTTTCATTCATTTTCATTGGATGGCTCAAGGACATTGTTCTAGTCTATTTTATTAATAAAGACATTATAAATTTCCAAAAGAAAAAGAAAACAGTGGCTCTTGGCCCATATATCCTCACAGATTCATCATGCTGCATTTTATCGACGATCAGTAGTAGAAGTGGATATTATATTGCAACTATTGTTTGAATCATTATTTCAGTGAAGTAGAGGATTTGAGATGAATTGTGTTTGGTAACAATTTTTCGATATTGCTTGAAATAGTGAATATGGGTGAAATAAACCTGCAATAAGTTTTTTTCATCTTGAAGTTGAAATTCTCTTCAAATTTGAAGTGTAATCAAAAAGATGTTTTTGTGCTCTGTCAGATATTGTTTGTCATTACATCGATCTAATTCAAGATCATCAAGAAGTAATATTCATTCATTGAATTTCAACATCTCTTCTATGAGATTACATCTCTTGCTGTAGTAATATTCACTCATTTAAGTTTACTAGTTTATTCGTAAAATCCATAAAATAAAAATATTGACATATGGAAAGGTAATTAAATGATAACCTCTCTTCCTGTAAGAATATAAATCTCAATAAAAATAATATAAATCGCAATAAAAAAGGGGGTGCTTGGCAAGTAAGCCTTGAAACTTGGCCAAGGGGAGTTTCACGGGCATCGCCGGCCAAACCAACCGCCATAGCAAGTAAGCCTTGAAACTTGTATGAATTTAGGTGTATAAGGTTTGACACAACATGTGTTGCAAACCATCTCATCCCCACACCCCGGTGCAAACACTTCTCACGCTAATCCTTTTTTAACCCGCAAAACTTCCTAATTAATATCCGATGTGGAATATCATTAGTTCGGTAATTTAATTGGCCTTGCTTTTTGTTTTTATTGATCAAATTTTATGTACTTAAATCCTTTATTATTGTTTTCATCTTCTCTTATATTGGATTAAAATAGATACTTCGCTCAGTATGTAATTTCCAACCCCTCCTTCATTTTGGTTAGTGCATACTTAGAAACAATTAAATATCCTTCTCTATTGGTCCCCACGGAAGCTAGAAGAGCACATTAGATTAGTTTTTTGGGCTTGTTCTTATCGTCCCATTACATTATTCAAGCCAACTAAAAAAACTTATAATTTAGACACACACTGACAGAAAGGAAATAAAACTATAATGCCATTTTGAGAAGAAAAAAAATGAATTTGGGAAATTGTATAATATATCAGCCCAAATCTTGTCTTCACTTTACTGCTACTAGGAAATCATCAGGATATGCGTGGTCGACTGATTTTATTTTGTGTGTCACACAACTTACACTAGTTGTGTGAGGCCTCTTTTTATCTCACATATTTGTGGTCCCATTTCTTACACATCTGGGTCCATAAAATTTTGGGACCACACAGTTGTGAGACAAAAAAGAAGTCTCACACAACTATTGTCAGTTGTGTGAGACACAAAATAAAAAAATTCTGCGTGGTGCAACCCGGTCTTTTTAATTTGACTTGTCTTTGCCCAATATTTCAACAACAGTTCTACAACGGCATTGGAGGATGACAATTCCGTAGACTGCCAATTTATTACAGGTGTGTTGGGCAGGAAGCTAAATGTATTTCTATTGGGTTTTTAGGTGTGAATAGGAAAAGATACCATTTGGATTGCACCTCTTCACTCTCATATTTATTGCCTATAAATATAGAGGCATTGCCTCATACACCTTTTAAAAAATTATTATAATACGTGTGTGATGAGTTACACAAAAATTGAAGGCGAAAATGCAATCTCAATTTGAAGCACAATCACACTGAAAAATAGCTATCAAATGAATTTATATAGTAGTGTTCGAACAACTTCAATTATGCAATTCTTATAAATATATCAAGTATTCAACTTGTCAATAGTTTATTTTTATATCTCAATAACACATAATTTAAATGTGAATTTGAGCAGTATTTATTATGATTGCAAATATTTCACATCTTAAAGTTTTTATTTTTTTTAAAGAAAAAAATGGAAAAGTTCAAACTTTAACATAATTTCTAATTAATTAATTACTTTGGGTTCTTATGAACCTGTTGAGGACTTCCCTTCTTTACTCAATAGGAGCAAGAAAGTTTTTTCTGTTCAAACAAAACAAACTTGGTTGGAAAAAGTGAAGTGAATAACTATACTGAATATTAATCCTTAGCAAACAGAACTTCTAGCAAAGCTCACCACAAAAACAATGAACAGAGAAAGCTCTATTCCAGCAAGAAAAAAATATGACTCATATGGTGAAAAAAAAAAGATAGTATTGTAGCAAAAATTCTCATATACAAAGAAATTCAGTTTATAAAATATAACAAATTAAGAAATATGGCAAGATTATATTCCACAGATGAGTCGGTTGAATTGTTTAATTTAGTTAGCTTATGATTTAACAATAAGTAAAGATGAGAGAATTCTTACATATGTTAGTGTGCATAACTGTTGAAAATTAAAGGGAAGGCATATTAGCAAAAAAAAGGGGAAGGCAAACGGAAGGTTGAGATATATATGTTTTCAAGAAGCAATGGAGATGTTCAAGTGAATTGAAAAGGCTGCCGTATCGGATGAAAGTCAACAGTTGGCTTTTCATTTACCATATTCACTGCAATTGAAGTGTAAGATTTTTTATCAAAATTGAAATGTAAGTTTCTGTCGTACAAAGAAATATATATTGAAAGTGTTTCAAGTAAAGGGCAAAATGATTATTCGTTTTTGAGGGATATTTCGTAATTTAATTTAAATAGAGCCTTCTCGCTTATAATATAGCATACTAGTTTTTGGGCATGCGCGTTGCGCGTGTACCCCATATCAATGAATATAAAAATTTAATTTTTTTTATGAAATTAAAGAAAGAAGTATAAGTTCTTGATATCTTATGGTGATCTGGATATATTTATTAGCTTATTTCAAAAAGCCAAAACACCTTCAGGATGGCAAAAAATAATATACTTCGAGTAAAAACTAAAGAAATCGTACTGGAAAAAAATTTGTCTGAACACAAAAGAAAAAAGTGTTTAGCCTCGTATGCTCTCTGATTTTTATAGTAGACGTCATTAAACTCTCATCGGCACAAACGCCTCCTCTAACTTGTTGCAGTACCAATGATTGTCCAAGGCGCCACCATATCCAAGAACTTATTAGATATGTTACCATATCGGCAAGTGATTTGTTAGGCTCATAAGGTAACCCAAAATTGTAAAGTTAGTTTGCTATATTACCACTGACGAAAATAATGGCAGGCTTTGTCTATCTTATAATACAAGGAGCTTTAGCCAGTAAATATTACAACTATATTTTAGTTTGTTTATAGAATAATATGTCTATCAAATATCATTAATAGTATTTTTATCTGGAATGTTCTCAAAGCAAAGATTCTATGAATTTAATTGAGAATACGAAAAGCACCAGCTATTTTTAATATACCAGATACATTAAGTAGTTATCCAATTAAGACTAATGGGCAAGACTATGAAATGACTAAAAGAGATACAACTGGTTATTAGATGAATTTAGTTGACTACAAAAATTTATTGCAAGTAAAAAAATATTTTATTATTAAGAAATGAGAGTAAAATAGAACAATATAGTAATAGAGACAAGATGTATAAGAGGAGAATGTAGAAGTTATCTTATTCAAGTGTGTTTCTTGTGTGTTCTTCCGTAGGCAAAGAATGTCCTATTTATACTATACAAGATACACCCAAAACTCACTAGATACATCCTAGGAATTAATAGGTACTTCTATCCAAGTAGTACATTGTATAGAATGTATGGATGGATTAAATGAACATCCATATACATTCACTTTATTTATAACACTCTCCCTTGGATGTTCATTTGAAAGATAATGTGCCTCGTTAAAATTTTACTAGGAAAACCCAGTGAAAAAAAGCCTAGTGAAGGAAAAAGAGTACACATGTCTAGTAATACGCATTGAGTGCTGCCTCATTAAAAACCTTACTAGGAAAACCCACTTGGGACAAAACCTTGGTTAAGGGAAAAAGAGTACAGCGCGTATTATACTCCCCCTGACGAAAGCTTTATTTGATATCTTAGAGACGACGCATTCCAATCTTATGTCTCAGCTTCTCAAATATTGATGTTGGCAATGCCTTAGTGAATAAATCTGCTAGATTGTCACTTGAACGGATTTGTTGAACATCTATCTCACCATTTTGCTGAAGATCGTGTGTGAAAAAGAACTTTGGTGAAATGTGCTTTATTCTGTCTCCTTTGATATATCCTCCTTTAAGTTGAGTTATGCAAGCAGCACTGTCTTCATACAATATCGTTGGAATCTTCGTTTTTAAAGAAAGACCACACAATTGTTGAATATGTTGAGTCACTGATCTCAACCATACACATTCTCGACTAGCTTCATGAATAGCTATTATCTCTGCATGATTGGAAGATGTAGCAGCTAAAGTTTGTTTTGCTGAACGCCATGAAATAGTTGTACCCCCACAAGTAAATAGATAGCCTGTTTGAGATCGGGCTTTATGTGGGTCAGACAAATAACCTGCATCTGCATAACCAATCAACTGTGAATCAGACTCATAAGAATAAAATAATCCCATCAATAGTCCCTCGGAGGTATCTAAAAATATGCTTAACACCATTCCAGTGTCTTGTTGTTGGAAAGGAACTAAATCTTGCTAATAAACTTACTGCAAAATTTATATCTGGTCGAGTATTATTTGCAAGATACATTAGTGCCCCAATTGCACTAAGATATGGAGTTTCATCACCAAGAAGCTCTCCATCATTTTTATGAGGTCGGAATGGATCTTTATTTATGTCAAGTGATCTCACAACCATCGGGGTACTCAATGAATGTGCTTTATCCATATAAAAACGCTTTAGGATCTTTTCGATGTAAGTTGATTGATGGACAAAAATTCCATCTTTCATATGCATTTGTATTTATAGATTGTCCAACCGGGACATCAATTCGAATAGGAGCATTAGCAGCTGGA